CCATACATACATCCATTGTGTCAAGCACATATGTACATTTGTTGCCCTCATCATTCTCAAAACATTTGCCTTCCACTTTAGCCCCTAATATCAGTTGCTCATTTCCCCCTCCCTCCTTCCTCCCCCCTCCCCCATGAACCCTTCATAATTCATAACTTATTATAGTTTTGTCATAAGTTACACTGTCCGACATCATCCCCGCGCCCTCTTCTCTGCTGTCCCTTCCCCAGGGAGGAGGCAATCCTTAGATTCTTGTAATCGGTTCCCTCTTTCTACCCCACATTCCCTTCACCCTCCAGGCCTCACATCTCCCATTTTTATGTATTGAAAAATAATATAATTGTATTCAATTAAGTTACACAAGACCCCAAAAAAGTCCCCCAGATTTCCGTTTTCTAAAACATTTCCTACTATGTTCGCTACCATTTTTGGTCCAAATATGAAGTTAAGCTATAAGAAATTATACTTTCATAGGTCAAAAAAGTTTAACTATCTTCACTTGCTCAATCACACATTTCCATCATTGTTACAGTTGGAACGCAGGATCACTGGGGGGTGTCAAGGATTAACTGCTCACGTGCTAGCTGAAACGTGACTGACTCAGACGCACTCTGAAAAGTTGCCAATTTGAAAACCTTATAGAGCAGTTCCACTCTGCACACCAGGGTCACCAGGAGTCAGAATCAACTTGTTGACAATGAGCAATGACATGTTCGTAATGTAACTATACTGTACATCAGGATGGTTGGCCATGCTGTCATATAATCTTCACAATCATTTAAATGTCATGTCTTTAACATGTTATAACCCAGATATTGTTACAACCTAAATGTTGGAAGAACTCATTATCATACCAGCCTCTCAAAGAAATTTTTTCATTTTTTTCACAAGCAGTCTATTAGTACCCCCAAAACCTAATTCACTGCCATTGAGTACATTCCAACTTGTAGCAACCCTATGGGGCAGGGAAGAAGTGTCCTTGTGGGTTTCTGAGACTGTCACTCTTAACGGGAGTCAAAAGCCTTGTCTTTCTTTCTCCCACTGGTGGTTTCAAACTGCTGGCCTTGAGGTTAGCAGCCCAAACACATAACCCACCAGGGATCCATCATTTGAAACTCACTGCCATCAAGTCGCTTCTAACGCAGATTGATCCTATGCTGTCATTGTTGTTGGTGGGTACGATTGAGTCGGTTCTGACTCACAGGGACCCTATTTACGACAGAACGAAACATCGCGCCATCCTCCCAATTGGTCTCCTGTTTGAGCTCATTGTTACAGACACTGTGTCAATCAATCTTGTTGAGGGTCTTCCTCTTTTTGGCTGCCCCTCTACTTTACTTTATAATGGCATTATGGGACAAAGTAAAAGTACTACTTAGATTTTTGAGACTGTAAATCTTTAGAGTAGCAAACAGTCTTCTCTTTGTCTTTCTCTTCGCTTTCTCCTGCAGTAGGTGGGTTTAAGCAACCAAATTTGCAGTTAGCAGCCCAACACCGAGCCCACTCACAGTACCATCTAAATCACCTACCCCACGGCACCACTGGGATTCCTTATTATTGGATGACATTATGATATAGCCATGGTGACATGAAAAAATAGATTATAATATTATGTGATTATACAGCATGGGAAATGCTTGTGATATACTATTAAATGATATCAGGAGATTAAACTATACATATTTCAAAAATCACTGCCATCAACTTGATGCCAACTTATAGAACAGGGTAGAACTGCCCTTGTGAGTTTCTGAGACTGTAACTTGTTATGAAAGTAGAAAGCCCCATCTTTCTACCACTAAGTAGCCGGTAGTTTCGAACTGCTGACCTTGGGGATCACAGCCCACTGTGTAACCGACTACACCACCAGGGCTCCTCATATATGATATTCAATAGTTATAATCATACCCGAACAAAAACTTTACAGGCCATTAGCTCAAGCCCAAAGAACCAGAGGTCAGATGCAGGTTCTAGACAGGACAAGAAGCTGGAGAGCTTTGTGGGAACATCCATAAATATTGGAGACCACACCCTGAGGAAATTCCCTTTCAATTGATTGGATGCTCACAGCAGACTTTTGCTTTGTTGGCCACGACTGAACCAGTTCAAACCAATTTGAACCCCAAAGGTGAACCTCTATTGTCTTTCACAGGAAACTAGATTGGCTCAAAGTGCAATTAACATGGGATAGCACTTTGTTTTTTTAAGTACTTTTGCATGAGTTAGAAATGAGTGCCCCACCATATTAAAACCACGATCATAAATAATTGATTCAGGCTAGAAGCCTCATGGGTGCTAAAGTCACTGGATGAAAGATTACTGGGGAATAAGCTAGCCCTAAAGTGCCTCAAAATCTCACCCATAGATTACTTATTAATCGCAAAAGGGAAATTGGTACTTTTCTAATGGAGAATCCAGCAGATGCTGGCTAAATCAATGCCTGATCTTGACATCCCCAATGCTGGGCCAAGTGACATCCATCAAATAAAACATTAGTTCTTTAATTTATGTCTGCATGTCTTCTCCAATGTGTGGCACTCTCGGTTTCTCCTGAACTGATCAAGTGTTCTTTATTATTAGCCCCTAAAGATCATGGAGCGGACGAATTTGGTCTGGTTCTGGTCCGAGGAAAAACTGGAACGTCCAAACTGGAGCTCACAGGTACATAACGCTTTCCTCCAGTATGTGCTGTGTCATGCTGTGCCAGGTTGTGTTCATTTCATCACAGGCTAAGATGATGGTTTACCAATCACTGATTCACTGATGAACACTCACTGGAAAATCCATGGCATCATGACACGTGGTGACAATATTAAAATAGTAGGTCCTTGTGTGATTGATATTAACAATTAAAACATAGGAAGACTGTCTTTTCTCTCCAACGCCTGTACCCCGACCCTTGGGGTGAAAGGGGTGAAGCAGACTGTATGTGTGGAGATGGGGGGAAGTGACGCATTTATTTCTGTTCCAAAGTCAGAGGGCCCACAATTTGAAAATCATGGTGACTATGTCAGTTGCCTATCGCCACAATCATGGTGCCTGCGTTGGTGGTATAGTGGTGAACAAAGCTGTCTTCTACAATACTGCTGTGTACACAAGCCCACAGTGGCCGGGAGCAAGAAGTAGTAAAATTTGCTCCTGGGTCTATGGATTCGCTGGCCAGTTCTGCTGGATCTCAACCATGTATCAGCAGTCATCTCTGGGCCTGCTTTGCCTTTGCTAAGCCTAGCTGCACTCTCTCACATGCCTGAGGCTGTGCTCCACGTGGTCTCTCATCCTCCAGCAAGCTTGCCTGGGCTTGTTCTCCTGGGCAGTGTACCAGTGTGATGTATATGTACAAAGGGGCTGCAGAAAGGTTTGGGGAAATGGAATGTAAAAGAAAGCCCCCCACCTGCAGATTAGGAAGCAGGCTGGAGAGCTCCTGCTAGTTCATGGGGCCACAGGGACTGGAAAACCCTCAACCTGCAGATCTAGCGGCAGGCTGGAGACTTCTGCAGGCTTACATCTAAGAACCTGAGGTCACACAATGAGAAGAATGTAGTCAAGAGAGCGAGAGCTATGCCCCAACATTCATTGATAGACTGGAGACAGGCCATACCCCAAAGAAACTCAATTGGCTGCTTACTTCAGACCAGATCTTTTATATTATGGAAGAGCAATCAGTACAGGGTCTGCCAAACCACTGAGAGCCACAGCCCAGCCACGTTGACACATAACGTGGACCATCATCACAGGCTGGACTCCAAAACAGAGAATAGAGACACACAAGGCCTTTTGAGGTCTCAGCCCCAAACTGTACATCACTTCCACCGTGGGCTATTCACCAAAGCAAGGCACAAGGGCAGCCCATGTGGAAGAAGTGCAGAAGGCACTACAGAGTCATGCTACAGAAGGTACAGTTATATAAGTGGGCACAAAAATGAGGACCAAAGCCACATGACCTAGAATTTCATGGCCACAATCCCTAAGTCTCTCCAGTTTGACTTAGCCTTGTGGCATCTTGGCACAGACATCCAGGAAAAGCCCAGTTAGGCCTTTCTCTTCTGTAAGCGTAACTGTCTTGCTCTTCTCTTTCCTTCTCCAACTTGTTTTTCTTTTGACTTGCCACTATCATGTCTTCATCTTATGCTAATTAGATTCACTTTTGTGCTTCCCAGGAGGCACAGGCTCCAAGTCTGTCCCTTTGATTGATAGGACAATCTCTCCCATGAAGCCTGCCTCCTCTCATGCCTCTCCCTCCAAAGTTGATTCAGAAAGCTTCTGCTAAAACCTCTCACTGGCTAGTGCTGCCCCCCCACCCCCAACGATCCAGCTTTTACAAGCGTCCACTTTTCCTCCAGCTTCTTCTTTCTTCTTCCCTTATCTTCTTCTCCTTCTCCTTCTTCACATTAACCATCTTGTTGCCTGTTTTCCTGGTTAGGAAGAAAATGTTTCAGATTCTGTTCCAGCTCGGGCTACATTTCTCTTTGCTCCCTGACAATAATGGATTGAGTCCTCTGACTTACCAAGTGGACGAAGCTCATTCCCTGAAGGAATATTTCTTAAGTTGTCTTCCAGGGTCCTTAGTGAATCACAGAGAAGCTAACATTTTTCACGTGAGCATGTGGCCGTGTGATTCCAAGACACGTCCAGTAGGGTATCCTGGAAATCTCCATCCCAATCAGAAGACTTGGGAGGCTGCCCCAAGGCTCCCACTTGTGAATTACCTTGGGAAAGTCATGTAGCCATGTGGTGCCTCATTGCTTTTAGAGATAAGAGTTTATATGCAAGTGGTTTATATAGGAGGAGGTCCCAGGAAACCGTGGAAGGGGAATCAGGGAGGGAGACAGAGAAGGAAGGATGCCAATAAAGGATATACTGTCTGGAAAAGTTTCACAGTGGGCAAGGGGACGTCAATCTCACTGGGGAACTCTGGGAGAGAGCATAGAACCAAAGTACCCCATTGCCATCGAGTCCATTCCAACTCACAGCAATCTGATAAGGAAAGAAAGCCTCATATTTATCACTCAGAGCAGTTGGTAGTTTTGAACCACTAACCAGGCAGTTAGCAGCCTATTGTGTAACCCACTGTGCCACCAAGCACTACAGTATAAACACGCCTCAGAATTATTCTATTGGACTAGGGTGAAACTTATTAGTCTCTCCCCATCTGGAGCAAAGAAGATGCAGATTTTTTTTTTTTAAAAACAAACAGATGAAACAATGAATCTGAGGCTCGAAGCACTAGATGGTGCCCTGCTACCACAGGTAACCACTCTGAAAGGGATCACAGTAGGGAGTCCTGAGAAAAATAAAAGAAAATATGTAGAACAAAACTCAAAATCATCAAAAAGGCCAGGCTTCCTGGTCTGATAGAGACTGTGAGAGCCCCTTACCAGGCATCCTCAAACTATGGCCCGCAGGCTACATGCAGCCCACCAAGGACATTTATCTGGCCCGCCGGGTGTTTTTGCCCCATTTGTTTTTTACTTCAAAATAAGATATGTGCAGTGTGCATAGGAATTTGTTCATAGTTTTTTTTAAACTATAGTCCGGCCCTCCAATGGGTCTGAGGGACAGTGAACTGGCCCCCTGTTTGAAAAGTTTGAGGACCCCTACCTTAGACGATGGCCCTTAGACACCCTTCAGGTCTGGAACTCACCCCTATGGCTCAACTTTCAGCCAAACAATAGGCTGATCAAGTGAACAGCAACACAGGGGCGGTAGCACTCCTTAGAACAAGCAACCCTTTGAGATCAAAGGGACAGCAACTTCCCAGAGATAAATCTCTGAGGCAGAAGGGCTAGGAAAGAAGGACACATGGAAATGGGAAACGCAGGGAAGAAGAGGAAAGAGTCGTGTTACCCTGTGGGGATGGCAATCACTGTCATAAATCAAAATGTGTATGAATCGTTGAATGGAAAACTAATTTGCTCTGTAAACTTTCACCCAAATAACAATAAAAAGTAAAAGAATTCTCCTCCCAGGGCCGGGGCGTTGAGGTAGTTATGTATCAATTCCCACCCGACATTGAAGGCTGATTCCGGGAGGGATGTTCATTTCCTGTCGATCCTGGCTTATCATGAAGGCAAGGAAGGGCATCACTGTGCCAAGCCGACCTCCACCTTCCTTGGACCCTGGATTCCAGTCTGACTTCAATGTCCAATTCCATCATGTGATGGCCCCACCCAATGGCAGAAGCTGAGGTATTCTCCAGCACCTCTTGTCCATCAATTGGTTGAAGGCTCTCCCAGAAAATAATCCTGCCCCCTGGCCCCCCTGTATTCTGCCCTGCCCTGCATGGGCCAGGCATGGGCCCACCAGAGCACGCCCACACAAAGAGCATTGCAGGTGCTTGCAATAAAAAGCTATGTACCTGCGAGCGAACATAATTGCCGGCTACCTGACTATGCACTGCTCCGTTGCCACCGTTTACATTCCCAGTATCTTGCATTTTGAGAGAGAGGAAAGAGACCGACCCCCAAACAAACAAACAAACAAAACCGGCCCACTGTGCTCCAGCCCATGTATGACACACTAGAACTGCCTCCTAGAGTGTTCAAAGCTATAAATCTTCATGGAAGCAAATGGCTAAGGCTGTCGCCTGTCCAACAGTTAATGGGTTTGAACTACCAACCTTTTGGTTAGCAGCCCAAAGCTTAACCACTGTGCCACCAGGCTCTTAAATAAAGGTTAGCCTGAACAAAGCCATGGTATTTTCAGTATCCTTACACATCTGAAAACCAGCTAATGAATAAGGAGAACCGGAGAGGAACGGGTGCATGTGAATCCAGATGTTGGCCAAGAATATGAATCACACTACAGAGTCCTGAAGGTGTAGTTAGGCTGCTAGCCCAACTCTGCCACTACAATTACAAAACAGCCCCCCAAATTTTGCATTGTGCTTGTGGATTAGTAACATCAACTTAGTATGTAGGTAATGACACTCATTAAGGGAGAAAGATGAGGCTGTCCACTTCTGTTAGAAGTGTAGCATTGGAAACCCTAGGAGGCCGTCCTACCTTGCTCTATAGGGCGGCAGTGAGTTGGAATTGCCTCAGTGGCGGTGGGCTTGGTTTTCACTCATTAAGAACTATTGAAGATTTGGAAGCAAGTATTCCTTGGCATCTTTTTATTTTAAAACCAGGAGGTGAAAAGAAAGGAACAGTGTGGTTGTACTGACTGAAAAACTGCACAGGAGGACCCGAGCTGCAGTTCAGTCTGTTTTGGGGTTCAAGTTCAATTCCAGCACTCAGATTATGAAAGACCCTGGAGAGATTCCTTATGAGCCTCAATGGATTTGTCTGAAAATGGGCCTTATTGGGAATTTTTGTGGCAATCAAATCAATCAAATGACACCATAGGTATGAAAACATTTTGCAAATTGTAATGAGTCAAGAATCGGTAGTTGCCACTTCACTGTTGCCTTTCCTTGTCATTCTCTTATTCCTCAACATAAACAGCAGTTGCTAATGACAAACCATCAGAATCCCCTGCCTGGGAAGCTGACAGTAGTGATAAGGAATATCTCTACCCCTTCCACACACACACACACACACACACACCTCTTTCCCAATGGTATTTTTTATTGTTGGCAGCAGAGATGGGTAGACTTTGTCTCTAAAGGGCAAAATATTAAATGTTCCAGGCTTTGTGGACCATAGTGCCTCTGTTGAGACTGCTTAACTGCCATCTTTATGCAATCGTAGTCACGGATGATATGTAAAGGAAGGAGCCTGGCTGCATTTCAATAAAATTTTATTTCTAAAAACCAGTATCAGGCCAGAAGTTAGTTTGATGACCCCTGATCTACATAAACGTAACCACAGGCACTGGTTCTATGATTTGTATTAGTGATTCAATGGTGACATTTCTCTGACCTATCTAACCATGGCAGGCATTCTATCATAAATTGATACAATGTAGGAGCTGGCTGGGTCAGCTGATGCAGTCCAACGTCATGTTTAACGGGCATGTTGGAATCATGAAGTAAAGGGAAGAGAGTTTAGTTACTTACACAGTACATGAATCATGCTAAGTCAAGGACTATATTTCAAGGGTCATCTAGAAAGTTCTCCCATGGTCTTCACCGGCTTATGTGCGTGACAGAGGTTTTATTTTCTGGGATGAATTTTATAAAAACATTTTTTCAAGTCTCTGTTTCATTTTACTTTGCTTATGGGGATCTTGCCAGTTCCTTATTTTTTATAATTAGGTGGGCTTTCGTGTGTGTGTGTGTGTGTGTGTGTGTGTGTGTATAAGTTTACAATAGTGTACTAAGTGGCTTCTCAGGTTTAAATCAAAACAGGGTATCTGGTTTGATGCTCTCCTAAAGGGCACTTCAGTTGCATTTCATGTGCTACTGAAAAGACTGCAGCCCACATTACCTTCCATCACTCCACAAGTTAGGCACCTTTCTGATGCTCTGAAGAGTTATGAATGCACTATTTTTCTCAGCAGATTTAAATATCTCAGCTGACTGCAGCTTTGATCACGGGGTCTGTGACTGGAGACAGGACTCAGAAGATGATTTTGATTGGAATCCTGCTGATCGAGAGAATGGTACATAGATTGCACTTATTCCATGTTCTGCAACGTGTTGAGGGTCAAGAAGTTTCTCCAATAATAAACCAAAAACCAGACACTCAATTCTGACTCATATTGACCCTGTAGAGCAGAGTAGAACTGCTCCATGGGGTTTCCATAGGGTTTCTATAAATCCTTCTGGAGGCAGATTGCCACATTTTTCTCCTCTGGAATGAAGCGCTGGTAGGTTTGATTTTCCAATCTTTTGATTAGCAGCCATATGCTGAACCCACTGTTCCACCGGGATTACTCTCCAATCATAAGAAGATGGTTACTTAGTCTCTTTGGAAACCTTTACACCTTCCATGACCTCCCCTGTGGATGACTAACTTGGTTCAGTACATGTTCTTCTTTTTAATTCCTCTCCCACCCACCTACCCCCCACAAATGCTGCTCCAGTAAACCTCTTCCATAGTCACTCTCCTGCTGCTAAGAAAGAGGTGTTGGAATGCATATGAGGTTTTGAAGTGTTGGGGAGAAAATAGAAAGAAATTGCTCCTTTCATCCAACTTACCAACCAGGATGTTCGCTGGTTCTCATTTTGTTGTCTGGGGGAACTAATTCTTGAAAAGAGATAGGGCCTTTACCTATACCTGGAGTTGGCATAGAGTCACCCCTTAACGAATCAAAACCATTGTGAGCTGAACTCTTGGACTGAGCCTTCCCTTCTATTGCTTGAGGATTGTCTTCTAGCAGCTGGCTCTTGTACGTTCTTAACCTCAGCTCTGGAAGTGGATTTCAAGCCCTTTCCACTGCCTCCTCCAACACTTTTAATGAGACATCAGTTCCCCCAGGAATCTGGGTGGTGCAGTGGTTAAGCACTCAAGGTTAGCTATCATCTTCAAAGATGTATGGTCTCCTGACTGGTTAAACTTGCTCTGAATTTTTAGCAATTATCTCATTAATCAAAAGGTCAGTGGTTCAACTCATCAGCTGCTCCACAGGAGAAAAAGATGTGGCAGTCTGCCTCCATAAAGATGACAGCTTTAGAAACTATGGGACAATTGGACACTGTCCTACAAAGTCTCTGTAAGTTGAAATGCTATCATTACGAATTGACTCAAAGGCAATGGGCCAGAATGATTTGCTTATGGATACCTTTTGAAGTGAACGCCCAAGCCCTATCTGACCACAATTAGGTACACAACTGTTCAACTTTCAGGGACCCCAGTACCTTACTAATAAAGTTATTTCTTGGGCTCTGGCCTCAGTTAAAAGATCCTTCTTCTTAAAAAAAATCCTTCTAGATCTTTCCCTTAGATGAATTCCTCCAGTTGAACATAAGAATTCCTTGTAGGACTTGGGATTAGGGTAGGGGGGCTCATCTCACATGGCAAGTAACACAATTGCAGGGCAAGTTTAACCAGTCTAGATACAATACAACTTTCAGAAACTCTTGTTGATAACTAAACTAAGTTGCTCCTTTCTTCCTTCATCCATATCCACATTTAGAACCAACAGAGTTATATCACATGGGTAGCCCTATAGGCTATTCCAGGATCTTGACACCTCACACTGTCAGCAAGAGCTTATGTTAAAAAACAGTGCCCTATTTTTAAACACTCGGTGCACAAATGGTCTCAAGGCCCTCATCACGCACATCACTTATATTGTATCTCTCCACTGCTGCTCCCACCAGATCGCTATTTTCATATGCCATACATACTCATAGTGATCCGATAAATCTCTATACATACACACACACACAAAAGAAACCTACGGTCATGGAGTTGATTCCAAATCAGAGTGAAGCTGTTTATGGTTTCTGAGACTATAGATCTTTACCAGAGTAGACAACCTCATTTTCTTCAGTGGAGCAACTGGTAAGTTTTATCCACCAACATTGTGGTTAGGAGCTCAATGCCTAACCCACAGCCTAAATTCTAATTCAGAAAGAATTTGTATCCCAAAAGTTCATATCTCCCTTGCTGTTTTTAGATGTTTAACTTAAACAGAGTGAGAATCAACTTAAAACATCTAAAAACAGCAAGGGAGATATGAACTTTTGGGATACAAATTCTTTCTGAGTTAGAATTTAGGCTGTGGGTTTGACTTCAGCCAAAAGACATGAGCAAAGTTGTCATGGTGGGTCAGAGAGGAAGAATGTGTTCACAGCTGGCAGACTTGCCAGATAAACTAAAGCATAAAGTCAAGTTGAAATTTCAGACAAACAGAAAACACTTAAAAAAATTATCTGTGGTGTGTTGTTTATCTGAAATTCAAATTTAATGGAGCATCCTGTCCTTGAGAAGGCAGGACAATCTCTGAGGCCAGTGAGAGCTAAGGCAATGTCATCCTGGGTCTGGCAAGTGCCAGTGGTGAATACAGCAACTGAAGACACAACCCTTCCCCAATGTCTTTCTCCAAGTTTCTATAGAAATCCCTCTTTCTTGCCAACTTTGTCAGACGCTACTCTGTATATTTTTGCTCAAGTTCATCAAAGCCCAAACCAAAACCTCAAACTTATTGCCACCAAATCAATCCTAGCTCTTAGTGACCCTATAGGGCAGGGTAGAACCACCCCCATTGGATTTCCAAGGCTGTCATCATTCCAGAAGCACATGACCACTTCTTTGTCCCATGGAACCACTGGTGGGTAGGTTCAAACTGCTGACTTATTGGTTAGCACCTGAGCACTTAACCACTGCACCACTTCACTCAAAGATACTTAGAAAATAGCAGAAATAGGTGGAGATGCATCATTATGAATTCAGGTGTCTGAGGATTAAATACCTCACTTTGGTCTGACTTCTAGTCATCGTACATATCATTGACCCTGTAGAAAAATGTCCTCCAAGATTCAGAAAGCCAAGGTGGACATGAACTTGCCACCAGTTGGAAAATCCTGGCAATACTAAATGACATTTAAACCTGTTCTTTTGCACTAGCTACTACAAAGCTTTGGGAACGTGGACAGATTCCTTGGGTTCTCTCTGTACAACCAAGGCTTTCAACGATATGATCTCTAAAACACATCTTGGCACCAAACAGATATTCCTGTGATCAAAAGAAAAAGGACTTCTGTTTTCCCTCTAGGAAATTATGGCCCATTTTCAGGACTGTTTTTGACATGATAACCAAGCCCGTTCCAATGCCTTGCTAACTGTGCATTTTTTTCTCACAAAGCGGTCGGCCACTATTTGGCAGTTCCCGCCTTGGTGGGACACAAGAAGGACATTGGCCGATTGGAGCTCCTCCTCCCCAACCTGCAGCCCCAAAGCAATTTCTGTTTGCTCTTTGATTACCGGCTGGTGGGAGACAAAGTGGGGACGCTTCGAGTATTTGTGAAAAGCAGTAGCAATGCCCTGGCATGGGAGGAGACAAAGAGTCAAGATGAAAAGTGGAAGACGGGGAAAATCCCATTGTATCAAGGAACAGATCCTACCAAAAGTGTAAGTGACAAAATCCTGATTAAACTAGATATTACCTTCCTTTGTAATGATCACACATCGAAGTGCCTAAATACTGAGGAGACAAAGCTGAGTGAGGCTTATTACCGACACTGAATGAGCTTACGCTCTGGGGTGTCAGAGGCAAGGTAAGTAACCAGCACAAGTAATGAGAATCATTGCCAGGCACATACCACGTGCTATGGAAATGATCCATTTGTCAGGCTCCTCTCACTAACTTTCCCGCCATGCAGGCTATAAATTCCTGAATCTGTGAAAGAACAGTTGGTTCATTTGTCCTCTGCCCAGCACTTATCACAATACATAGTAGCTAGAAGCTGGGTTTCTTTTTTAAATGTATTTTTTAACTGACCTGAGAGAGTGGTTATTGCAAGGATAGGGAATCCCCTAGACCACCCTCAGGTTCAGTGATATGCTAGAAGGACCATAAGAACTCCGAAAAGCGGTTATACTCATACTCCCAGTTTATTACAGTGAACAGCTACTGATTTAAATCAGCAAAGGGAAATGACATACAGGGCAACGTGCAGGAGAACCCAGGCACAAGCTTCCAGATGTCTTCTCCCGGTAGTTACATGGGTAGCTCTTCATGCTCCCAGCATCCATGTGTGACAACACACAAGGATATCTTGCCAACCAGAGAAGTTCACTTGAGCCCTGGTGTCCGGGGGTTTGGGGTGGCAGTAAGTCTCAATGAACCCACCACAAATCGCCTTCTTATCACGAACTACCTGGCATGGCCCAAAGCCTCAGGTCAACAAAGACAGTCTTATAAGGCAGACTATTCCAAGGGCTTCAAAGTTACCTTCCAGGAGTCACATAAGAGCCAGTCTTTTCTTTGGAATGTACAGGGACTGGACAACTTAGACAAGCTGAGTTCATCCTTTGGTACAAAGTGGGCTTAAGGCAGGGAAAGAGAATGAGTTTTAAGAAGTTAGTCAATGGGATTAAATGTCCAGAAAGAATAGAGCGAAACCTCAAGGAGAAAGTGAATGTTTTGTAAATGATGATGGCAACACATGTACAAATGTGCTGGACACAATGAATGGATGGATGGATGGTGATAAGAGCTGTACGAGCCCCCACTAAAATGATTTTTAAAAAGAAGAATAGAGCAGAACCAGCTGACTCTATCAGATTTGAGCATCATCAAGTGGGAATAGGTGACCTCTGCTGGAGTTTTTTCTTTGGAGGAGAAGGGGCAAAAGCCACACAGTAACTCAAGGAGGAGAGAAGGGAGCAGAGCTATGGGGGCAGCTACTGTGGACCCTTGTGAAAAGCTGGGCCAAGGTAGGAAGAGGAAAGATACAGTGAACACTAGGTTGAGAAACGTGAAAGGCTGAGGACCACTTAATGATAACAAGATGGAAGAACAATTAATAGGATCATTGAGCTGAGATTCCATTTATACTTTGATTGATCTTATTTCTTAGTACTAGACACAGACAAGAACTCTGGTAACGTAGTGCGTTACACGTTGGGCTGCCAACTGCAAGGTCAATATTTCAAAATCACTATCCACTCACTCTTTGGGAGAAAGGTGAGGCTTTCTGCTCTTATAAAGACTTACAGTCTTGGAAACCCACTGGGGCAGTTCGACCCTGACCTAAAGGGTAGTGCGCTATGAGTCAGATCACTGAGTCAGAACTGACTCGATGGAAATGAGTGAGTGAGATGACAGCCTAGTTTCTTGTGCCAGATGTTCACATTTTTTTCATTTACTTGCCCCACTCTCATCATAGCAGAACATCTTATTTAAAATACATCATAAGACATGGTTCTAAGTAAAAGTCTAAGTTGAGCCCAACTGACAAAATGCCTGCCCCGTGCCCCACACCATTTCCCTCTGTGGTTAAAACCAGCCAGTGCAAACTTAGCGCTCTCTCTCTCTCTCTCTTTCTCTCTCTTACACACACACACACACACACACACACACACACACACACACACGCATGTGCATTCTTACAACCCACATGTTCACACTGGTGTGTTCGTAGAATGGTTCAAATGGCACTGGGCTGTGCTATAGATGGATGGTATCCCTCGCTGGAGAATAACACATTGCACAACATTCAAAATTACCTCCATGTTGACTGAATTTATGTGTTGGGGAAATAGTTTATAGACCATAGTAGCTTGGTGGTGGTGACAATATAAATGAACAAACTCAATGCCAGTGAGTTTATTCCCACTCATAACAACCCTATAGGTCAGGGTAGGGCTGGCCCTGTGGGGTTCTCAGACTGAACCTCCTTCCAGGAGCAGAAAGCCTTATAAAGTCGTAAATGATACAAGGACAAGATAATTACAGAGACATATCATCCAGGTACGGAAGACCATTAGCCTGAGGTCATAATGGGGTCCAAGGGTGGCTGAGATACAGAGCTTTAAAAAAGACCTGGAGGGCAAAGAAAATGGTCACAACAACATGGCTGGTACCATATGAATACATCTTAGTTACCAGTGAGACTCCCGCAGAGGGCTTGGGGGTCATGACTGGGACAAGGACACTATGTTAGACAGAGGAGCTTACAAGATTGGTCCAGAGGCTTCCCTGAGGCAGTCAGGGCAAGGCTAGAGACTATGTGAAAAGTGCATGTTTTTGAAAACAGCACCCCAGCCCCCAAATATCTTGGCCAGCAGTCACCCTATAACACAATACTACTATGGTAGGAGGGGTGCTCCGCCCCAGAAGGGATCTTGATACTAGTGAATTTCCCCGGCACTTGGGGAAAGGTTGATGAGACTGTTGACAGGCGGGGATGCTGAGTAATCACGAGTACATCTTCCAGTTCATCTGTGGAATAGTGGCTGTGGATATTTGTAGCAGATATGACTCCTATTCCTGAACCCAGACTTACAAGATAAGTCACCTTTCTTTCTCTAAATCATATTACATCTGAATCCAAAGCCTCATGCTAATAGGCGGGAAGGAGCCTTCCCCCCTCCCACCTCCTCTGCTCCCCAGGGTGGCCTGAGCTTCTGGAAGGTGTAAACTAGCACAATTATGAAGAGCAGCACCAATGAAAAACCACTCATTCTTCAGCTTCCATGCTAGCCTTGACTGAGGCGGGAGTCTCGCTGCTGAGGCGGGAGAATTGCCTTTGCAGGGCTGTCAGGGAGAAGGGGGCTACAGCTTCCTCTTCCTGGAGCCCTCCTTCCCTCACTGCTTCCGCCTCCCTCCCATAGGACAGGGTAGAACTGCCCCTGTGAGTTTCCCATATTGAAACTCTTTATAGGAGTAGAAAGCCCCACTTTAGTCCCCCTACCCCTACCCGCTCCCCCCAAGTGGTTCAAAACTGCTCACCTTTTAGTTAGCATGGAAAGTAACCACCCTAACACTAGGTCCCTTGATTAACAAGCAAACAATCCGAGAAAAAAAAAACCTCACTGTCAATTCTGACTCATAGACCAGAGTAGAGCTGTCACTGTGGGTTTGTGAGATTGTAAACCTTCACAAGAGTAGACAGCCTCATCTTTCTCCAGTGGAGCAGCTGATGAATTCAAACTGCTGAGCTTGTGGTTAGCAGCCCAAAGCGTAACCCACTGCGCCACTAGGCCTCTTCCCTTGATCAAAGGGAAGATAAAGAGCCTGCTCAAATTTTCATCTCAAGTTCAAGGGGGAAATGCAGTGAAAACCCAAACACCAATTAATATCTATATTAATTATCCCTCCACTTCATTTTTATTACCCTGCTAGCAGTTTGCAACCACCAGCCACTTTGAGGAAGAAAAGATGAGGTTTTCTACTCCCACTCCCGTAAATAGTTACAGAAATCCGAAGGAGGGAATGGCATTGGAGTTTAAGTTATGAGCACCTTATTTGCAGAAGGCCATGGATGACAGTTGGGAACCCAAAATCCATTTGCAGGGTCCCTACATGGAGGAAGCATCTGATCAATCCCTTCTGATCATAATTGAGAGACGTGAATAATTTTGCTATCAGAGAGTATTGTGAACATAATCATGGCAGATGTAATGTGATCATTTGATCTCTCTTTTGACCCATTTTAAATATGTGCTAGTTTTTAACACTCCTTGCTTTTTTCTCAATTGGATTTTTTCCCTCTGGTTTATTTTGTTATTATTGTTGGTCTTTTTGCTTTGCTTAATGTTTTCCAGTATATAAAGACCTAGTTGTGTGAAGCTATATAGACAGTAACTGGATTAGGGGGTTACTGGGGATACAGCAGGAGGGAGTTTAAAGGAAATAGGGAACTAATAATGAATAAAGAGGGAAGAAAATGTTCTAGAAATGATTGTAGAGATGACTGTATAATTCTTTTTAACATGACTGAACTATGGGAGTATATGATATGTGAAACCATATTGTCAATAAAATGTTTTTGTTTTGTTTTGTTTTGAAAGAGTTACAGTCTGGGAAACCCACAGGGGCAGTCCCATACAGTCGATCTGAGTCACAATTGACTCAATGGCAGTGAGCTGAGAATATAGTTTATAGAGTTTTTAATGATGGAAAAGTTGTCACATTCTAAGAGCTAGACATATCCACCTGGTGGTACTGCTGGGTAAGCATTGGACTGCTTGCCACAAGGTGGGCAGTTCAAACCCAGCAGCTGCTCTGTGGGAAAACAAGGAGGCGCTCTGCTCCCGTAAAGATTTACAGCCTCAGAAACCCAATGAAGAGTTACTATGGGGTGGGGGAAGGAGTGGTGGAAATGAAGCGCTGATACCAAGGGCTCAAGTAGAAAGAAAATGTTTTGAAAATGATGATGACAACAAATATACAAATGTGCTTGACACAATGGACGGATGGATGGATGGATTGTGATAAGAGTTGTACAAACCCCCAATAAAATGGTTTTAAAAAAAAGTCGCCATGGATCAGAATCAACTCAATGGCATGGCAGTGGACTTAAGACACATCCCTGTTTACTACTCACTATCCCTCTCATTGCAACTGCCATGAAGGGGCTATTTCCTAGGCTACTATGACCATTCTTTTTTAAAAATCATTTTATTAGGGGCTCATACAGCTCTTACCACAATCCATACATACATCAATTGTGTAAAGTGCATTTGTACATTCATTGCCCTCATCATTCTGAAGACATTTGCTCTCCACTTAAGCCCCTGGCATCAGATCTTCATTTTTCCCCTCCTTCCCTGCTCCCCCCTCCCTCATGAACCCTTGATAATTTATATTTATTTTGTTATATCTTGCCCTGTCCGACGTCTCCTTGGGGAGTGGGTGGTCTCCATCTGCCCTCCTGGTTTTGTTGCTGTTTCTGTGGCCGTCAAGTCAACTCTGGTTCATGGTGATATTACGTACAAGAGAACGCTGCCTGGTCCTGCACCATTGTCGTGAGCAGAGATATAATTGAGTCCACTGAGGCAGCAAGTACACAATGCCTGCCAACCACAGGGGCTCCACACAGTATCAGGTACTGTTCTGGTATGATCCAGAGGGTTTTGATTGGCTTGTCTTCAGAAGCAGTTAGTTAGGACTTTCTTTCTAATCTGTCTTGGTCTGGAAGCTCCTGCCGAAACCTTCCCACCATGGATAACCCTGCTGGCATTTGACATACCAGTGACATGGCTTCATGCATCACAGCAACACACCAGGCCATAGCAGTACAAACTGACAGATGGGCGGTGGTGTCCTCTGGACAGCCAGAGAAATCTGGATACAGTGATGGCAGCCTGCCTGGAGTGGCTTCAGCTCTGTGGCCTTGAAAAAGAATATGTGACTATTTATGAAGCAAAAGAAAGAAGCATTGGGGTGTGGTGAACATGATTCCTAACAGACATTTCTTTAAGATGCCCATTTGCTGTATATTTGGATTTACAAAAATAGCACTGAAAAGACAAAATGAAATTACTCTATTAGAAGAAAATAAAAATTCATCATCATACCATAGTCATATGTGTGCTTTCATGTTTCAGTTTTCACTTGCTACATGAATGCATGTTTTCATCTATTTATAATTACAGTATGCATATGCTGTGCTGAATTCTACTTTAAAGGCATTGTGTAGAAGAAGAAAAGAATAACATGCTCCAAATTACATATTCTTTTCTCTCTAAAATATTTGTTCCAGAGTATATATTAGGGTTCTCTAGAGAAATTGAATCAGTAAGACAGATGATCAATAGATGGACACAGGAAGAGAAGGGAGGGGGAAAGAGAAAGTGAGATTTTAAGGCATTGGTTCATGCAGTGGTAAGGGCTAGAAAATCCAAAACATGTAGATCAAACAACAAGCCAGAAATTCCTAGACTCTGTGGGGTTCTTGAGACTTGAGCTATTTCAATAGTCATGTTTCTCAGAGCAACGCTCCCTCACTTTGAACACATGGCATCTAAAAAGCATAATCTTACTGTGCACATCATAAGAAATCTCAACCTCTGCCAAAGGAGGGAACCTGGGTAGCCCAAGCAGTTGGTGATCAGCTGCAGCCTGAAGGTTGGCAGTTCCATTCCACTCAGGAGCACCATGAGAGAAAGGCCTGGCAATCTGCTTCTGTCAAGATGACAGCCAAGAACTCCCATAGAGCACTTCTACTCTGTAACACTTGAGGGCACCAGGAGTTGGGAGATCAACTAGACCAGTGGTTCTCAACGTTCTGAATGCTGCCACCCTTTAATACAGTGCCTCATGTGGTGGTGACCCCCCCACCAACCATGAAATTATTTTTGTTGGTACTTCCTGTCATTTTGCAACTGTTATAAATTGTGTGACCCATGTGAAAAGGTTGTTCAACCCCGAAAGGGGTCACGACCCACAGGTTGAGAACCACCGAACTAGACCAACAACCACAACATGCAATAGAACCCCTTGTATTTTGTCTTTTCAAATAGCTATGGAATCTTTTTTTTTAATAGTGTGTCTTGAATATTTTGAAGTAATTTCCTTCTTTTTTTTTTCTTTCCAAATTAGATCATTTTTGAAGCTGAACGAGGCAAGGGCCAGACCGGCGAGATTGCAGTGGATGGTGTCCTGCTGGTCTCGGGCTCATGCCCAGGCAGCCTTCTTTCTGTGAATGGTTGAATGTTATCGATACCGTTTTATAGCTTCATATTTGCCTTTTTATGTCATGTTTCTGTTTTTTATATTGCCTCATAGACATCCACCCTCCCTTTTAGAAATAAAAACTGAAGAACAGAAACACACACAAAGGCATATAATTCGAAGATGCCTCTCTTGTAGAAGATGGGCCAGTATTTGCTTTAAATACAGTGCCACTGTGTCTTCTCATTGAATCAACTCAATGGTAGTGGGTGAATATCTTCTCATTCATTTCTGCATTTATATAATCTGGACATGTTAATTGAATGCCCCACCCCGACCCACGGTCCTGTATATCTATCTGATTTATCTCAATAGGTGATTAATGTCTCGATGCAACATTTTTAGAATTTAGAATTACAAAAACAAAACAGAAATATTTCACTGTTTCACTTTTATGGAAATCCTTGGAAACTATGACATCAGATAACCTTGTATACCTAAGCAGCTTAGCCTGACCTCTCATAGCATATGTAAATCCTTTGTCATAATAATATCCAAAGAATCGTCTTGTGTCATGGTTTACATTTTGAAAGTAAGGAAATCTGTTGGTTACTTGAGGTTTAATTGTGTATGGATTGCTGGGAAATGTGGTTTTTGCTCTTTCATGTATGGATCTACTTTATAGTCTTTCGGGAAAAGAATAATTTCCTATGATGGGAAAACATGACTGATTAATTAGTCCTCACAGTTGCTATGCAAATGAGCACAAATTGTTGAACTCAAGGCCTCAGAGAACTAGCTAGAACTAAATTTGCAAGTGCTACAGCAAAGCAGCTCCCAAATCAATCCTGAGTCCTGGCCACTCAGGTGTGTCAGAGTCAAACACTGCTCCTAAGGTTTTCAATGGCTGCTTTTCACTAGTGGTTCACCAGGCCTTTCTGCTAATGCACTATCAAGTCCGTTTTGACTCCTACTGACCCAGTGGCTCTAGGTATAACAGAACAAAACACTGCCCAGTCCTGCGCCAGCCTCACAATTGTTATGTTTGAGCCCACTGTTTCAGCCACTGTGTCAATCCTTCTTTTAGAGTATCTTCCTCTTGTTCACTGACCCTCTACCAAGCAAGATGTCCTTTTCCAGGACTGACCCCTTCTGATAATATGTCCAAACTACATGAGACAACGCATCTCTACCCTCATTTCTAATGAACATTCTGGCTAGACTTCTTCCAACACAAATTTGTTTGTTCTGGCAGTCCATGGTACTGTCAATATTCTCCACTAGCTGGTCATTCAAGCACATAAATTCTTCTCTAGTCTTCTTTATTCAGCGTCCAGCTTTCACATGCACTTGAAGTGATTGAAAATACCATGGTTTAGGTCAAGCACGCCTTAGTCCTTAAAGTGACATCTTTGCTGTTTAACACTCTAAAGAGGTCTTGGGTAAGGTGACCAGACGTCCTGCTTTTGGCAGGACAGTCCCGATTTTTAACAATTTTTTCTGCATCCAGCGGCATTTTTAAAAAGTCCCGATTTTTTGAAAGAATACACAACAAGCTAGGGTTTACGGTTTTCGGCTGCCATGTGGCTATTTTGCCAGGATATGAGTTTTATCAATGGTGTCCCACTTTACCAATGTTAAAATCTGGTCACTTTAGTCTTGGGGAGCAGATTTGCCCAGTGCAAGAAATCATTAGATTTCTTCTTGACTGCTATTTACAAGGGCATTGACTGTGGATCCAATCAAAATGAAATCCTTGAAAACACGCACCTTTTCTCTATTTATCATGATGGTTCTTATTGGTCCCACTATGAGGATTTTGTTTTTCTTTATATTGAAGTGTTATCCATACTGACAATTGCCTTCTGTGATGTTCATCAGTAAAAGTACTTGAAGTCCTCTTTGCTTTCAGCAAGTAGAGTTGTAGCATCTGCATATCACGGTTGCTAATAAGCCTTCTTCCGATCCTAACACTGAGTTCTTCTTCATATAGTCCAGATTCACAGATTTGCTTAGAATACAGATTGACTGCATATGAGAACAACATAGAGCCCTGACTCACCTTTCCTGATTAAAACCAAACAATTGCCTCTCGTTCTGTTCAAACAACTGCCCCTTAATCCATGCACAGGTTCCTAGGAGCACACTGAAGTGTTCTAGAATTTCCGTTCTTCTCAAGGCTATCTATAGCTTGTTATAATCCCACACAATCGAATGCCTTGGCATTGTCAATGAGACACAAGCAAACATCTTTCTGGTATTCTCTGCTTCCAGCTTAGATCCATCTGACATCAGCAAAGATATTCCTCATTCCACATCCTCTCCTGAATCCAGCTTCTGAAGTGCCTCTGAATGAACTCAAACCATCAACCTTTTGATTAGCAGCTGACAACTTAGCCATTTATACCACCCAAGAACAGTACGGCAGGGAGCAAGGCTCAGAGAGAGACAGACATAGAGAATAATTCCTCCTTTTCTAGTTTCCCTTTCTTCCAAATTTAAGAACAACTGCATGGTAATAAATTCTTAGCTTACCCCCTGAGGTGGGCATTGGATTCTGTTGGACAATTATGGGTCAGAAACCAATAGAATGTGCCCTCCAGATCGGTGCCCGCCATCACCTAAGGAAATCAAGGCACTGACAGTTTAAGGAAGGAAGGAAAGTTTGTGGTCTTCTTGAAGTTCCTTTATACTAAAACCCTTAGTAATCGTACTTCAACAATATTCTCTTTAATACAACCAACACATACCATCTTTTAAGATGTTGGAAAACAAAAACCAAACCCAATATATTGTTTTCCTTTCCAAAACCCACTGGCATCGAGTGAATTCAGACTCACAGTGACCCTATATAGAGTTTCTGAGATTGGGAATCTTTATAGGAGCAGACAGCCTCACCTTTCTCCCAAGGAGCAGCTGGTGGGGTTGAACCACTGACCTCGAGGCTAACAGTCCAGCACCTAACTCAAAGCACTACCAGGACTTCTTTGTTTTCCTTTAATAGGAGAGAATGTTAGCATATAAGATCAACACAGGACTGTAGCTGTGTGCTAGGATAATTGCTATATATAGAAGCAAATCAGCATTGTATTCTAGTGAGACGGGATAAAGAATGTCCCAGCTGACCCCAAGCGTCCCACAGACTCAGAAAAGACAATAAAGTGATGACTTTAAGTCACTATTTGTTACACAGCAGAAACTAACTGCTGCAGGTGGTTCCAATACTGTGGTGGCATTTGAAGAAGCCTCCATGTGCATTTGAGAGCACAATGGTGACTTCAAATAAAGGACGTTGGGAGGAGGGGGGACTTACAATAAAGGACAATTACAGGGAAAGTTGTTGAACCAGAGATGAAATAGGCATGGCTGAACATCATGCTACGTTTTAAAAAACAATTATCATCAACGCACAAAGTTGAGTTACGTACGTTGATTTGAATAATATTTCATGCTTCTTGAGTATAGTTGTGACAGAGACTTTGATTGCCTCCCAATAGCCACTGTCACCTGTTTTCCTTACTAGCATAACCACCAAGAAGGGAACAAGGTGCTTATCTAAAAGACCACATATCCCCATCTCTCTTACAGATGGGGGCATCGTGGAGCTATAAGCTGACGTCATTGGTGGGGTTTCCAAGGATGGTTAAAGGGGCTCTCTCAGTTAGCAGCCCCCTTTACTATTTCTCTTCTTCCTTCTTCCTGTGTGCAATGTGGTTGTGAAGGCAGGAACTCCATGGGCCACATTATGATCATGAGAGCAAGGGCCACAGCTTGCTGATGGAAGAGTGGGTCACTGGAGAAAGCCTGGGTCCTGGGTGACATTATGGAGTCGGTACCCATGTCCCACAAGGCTCTCTGCTGGACTTTAAATTGAATGAGAAAAAGAAACCCACTCCTGGTCTACTTAGCTTTTTACAGCCTCTAGGGATTGCCTCTGATAGCACCAACACAAGACAATGATGTTGGGGACTGTTTGGGACTCTTAAATTCCACATTGGCTGGGCGTCCTTTTCCTCCTGACAGAGATTGCTACTGTTTCAACAAACTCCATTATCTGAGAAGCCCCCTCTATCTCAGCCTTAGCAGAAACAAGCTCTTTTCTGTGGACACCTGTGACCTTGCAGCAGTTTCCAATGAAAGCAGCTCATCTCTCCACACTCTCCACACATGGTCTCATCTGAAGTGGAGGGTGGCATTCTCCGTGCTTCACACTCGTTCCCAATGGCTTATTTCTCTAGTTCAGTGTAAAAGTCACTCCTCCCTTTTGGAGTGATTCCAAGTAGGGTGGACCCCAAACCTAATCACTTCTCAGGACGGAGACACACAGGAAGAATACAGATGCCAAGGAACTCCCAGCCTACCAACACAGAAAGACCCACTCCAAAAGGCCATGCCACGATTTGGGTGATTTTCAAACTGTGAGTCAATAAATGACTGCTCTCTAAAGCCACCCACCTTGTGATGTTTTTTGTTACAGCAGCCTTGGACAACTGGTCAGGGAACAAATATGACTCCTGGGAAAAACAAAAAACACAAACTCACTGCCATTGAGTCCTTGCTGATTCATAGCCCCTTGGAAGGGAGGGCACCATCTCTGTCCTCCCAGGCCATTCACTATACAAGCATTTTTGAAAAAGACATTCCAGAGCAAAGGCTGTCTATGCCTTTCCATGGAAGATGGGCTGAAACCTATTATGTTGGACAGGGTTCTCTGGAGAAACAAAACCAGGATACTAATGGTTTTATATATATTTATAAAGATATATACATGTAACATAAGAAATAAACAGTTAATCTATAAAGCATTACAAATGGATCAGTGCAACTCACTTCCATGAGACAGCTAACACACTGGCAGTTGTTCAAGTCTTCAGGGCCGCTGGGTAGTCCTGTGTAGAGCAATTCAAGCTATCCAGCCACAGGCAGCAAACAGCAAGGCAGGTCACCAACAGTCAGCCAGATGACAGGGTCCAACAGTCCCCAGCTCAAGCGATGTATACTCCAGTCGCATAGCAAAGCAGGTCTTGAAGGAACCTCAAACTACAGTGACACAGTCCATGGGTTAGGTGTCCCACAGGGAGTGTAGCTTGCAAATTGAGGCACAGAGCAAGCAAGGCAGCTGCACACTGGTCCGATGATCAAAGAGCAAGGGGCAAGAAAGGTGAGGCTCCCCGAGCCATTTATCTCTCTGCCCTTCAATTAATCCCACATGTGTTCATTGGCCATGTTGGCACAGTAAACCTACCTATCACATGTATGGAGAACTGCCTTGAGACTCGACTCTCCACTCTCTGGAGTCAGGAGAGGAGAGGATGACAGAACAACATAATGGGAATGCTGGCTCCTTACAACAAATCCCTAATGGTACCAATAATAGGCATAGCTTCGACGTTTCTCAATCAAAGGGGATATTGCTTTCCGTAACTTATTTTCCCAGTTTAACACACACACACCACCACCACCATCACCACCACCCCTGGAACTTATTTTCACAGTTTCTCACACACACACACACACACACACACACACCCCGGAGCTTATTTTCCCAGTTTCACACACACACACATCGGAACTTATTTTCCCAGTTTCACACACACA